GGAAAAAAAAAAAAGGTGGGATGTGTGTGCGTGTATGTTGTTTGTTTGTGTTTTGTTTTTTTAACTGGGCACATTGCTGCCATGAAAAGAAAACCAAGTCTCTGATAGAAAACAAGGAGAGAAATAGCTGGATATTGGATAAGCACATAGCAGTCTTTCCAAAACAACTTTATAAGGCAGCTGTGAGGATTAACTAGGAGATTAGGCCCCAGACAGAATTCCCAACATATGGAAAGCCTCTAAATAAATGTCTCTTCCTTCACTCTCTGTGGGAGGAAAGTTGGCTGTAGCCTGATGGAAGCTGAAAATTGCTCTTTTGGTGAAGATGCTTTGGCAGCCATATTGAAAATCCTGGGGCCTCACTCTGTAGAATCCCAATGGTCAAGGTGTTCTAACCATGGCTTTTGACCTTAGCACTTTAAGTGGTCTATAGCATAGCCCAACACTTTAAAAGCATGGACTGTAAGCTTAGATGCACCTAAAGTTGAGTGACTTGGTTAGCCAAATCTTTCTCCTAGCTTCTTTTTCTCACGATATTGTTAGATCTCAGAAGGCAAAGGCCATGTCTTTTGATCTGTGTATTCTCACTATCCGGAGAGTATTATTGAATTGAATTGACACATTTATAAGAAGTCACTTATCACCATATAAGGAATTACTATTTGAGAATTTCATGATCTATAGCAAATACTGAGGGTTTCATGTCTTATTTTTTTTTTCCTTTCTTTCCATCTCCTCTTTTCCCCCTCAAAACTTGATAATTCCAGCCACCCGAAATGGTTATAGACCAAGTCAAAGGTTTTCAGAAAATTCCTATTTATACCATCTCCTTCAATTACCATGATGAGATTGCAAATGGATTTTTGAAAGAGCTTGCTTCTTTGACTGGAGGAGAATTTCATTCTTACAGTTTTGGTTGCAAGGATCCCAGTCCTCCAGAGACTGTGCAGGTAAGAGCTTGATGGGCTGAGAAGAGAGTGTTCATTTATTTGAGCATTACAGGCTAGAGGCCCATGGACAATACCTTAGTTGGGAAAACAGCAATCACAAAGACAACTAAGTTGATCAAATAAATTGCTTAACAATGTGTGTATCAGCATTTCTCAAAATATGGTCCAAGGACCACCTGACCCAAGGCACTTGTGAAAATGCAGATTCCTGAGTCTCACTTTGAAGCTACTAAATCAGGCTATAGGCATAGAGGCCTGGGAACCTTCATTAATATAATTTGTTTTTCTTTTAAACCTTTCAAACATACACAAAATAGAAGAGCATGTGGGCCTCCATTGTACCTGTCACTCAAATTCAACAATTATCAACATTTTGTCAAACTTAAGCAATCTGTATTTTTAATAAGGATCCTAGGGGTCCATATGTGAATTTTGTTAACCACTGATATATTCAGATGTTTGTAAGAAACTTTCAAAAACTTCAGATGCTGGGTAGTTGTTGCCTGACTTCTCAGGCTATATATCTATGTGACCATCTGATAAAGTAATTTATTCTAGTAGGCTAATGGGAGAAAGTAAATAAAACTCTATTCTCCAATCTTGGCCTAGCATATGCTTTTTAAAAATGCCCTCTTAGAGAGTGTATTTTTTTTGTCTTATTGTATGACCTGAAGAGTCACTTTAAATCCAAGTCAATTGGGTACCAGAACAAGCTGATCAGTGCTTACATGTGAGGAAATTACCTGAGTCTGGTGAATAAATCATCCAATAGGATTGGAGGGAACAGTGCTTTGAATCCACACAGGCTAAGAATAGTGACTATTTCCATTAGCTAGACTAGAAAACCTCATAGTCCTTTGGGCATTGGGTTAAGTATACAGAAGGATCTTGCCTCAGTAATGGAAACAGCCAAACACTGCTCCTGTTCCACCTAGCAAATTTTAACCACAAGATTTGAAAGGATCAAACTGTTTCAGAATAACTTAACTGCATCCCAGAACAAACTCCGAGAATAATTATTGGAAAACAACATCCCACCCAACAAAGTAAAATTGACAGTATATGGCATCCAATCAAACATTACCAGTCATGTAAAGAAGCAGGAAAATATAGACCCATAATGAGGAGAAAAAGCAAACTGAAAAATTAAAACATACCCAGGACTGACTCAAATGTTACTATTAGGGTATTAAAACAGTTGTTATAACTATATTTTATATGTCCATAAGTGGGGAGACATGAAAGGTACAAGTAAGACACAAATTTCTAGAGATGAAAAATACTTGTACAATGTATGAGATGAAAAATATATGGAATGGGATGAACAGTAGATCAGACACTGCAGAACAAAAGATGAGTGAACTGGAAGGCAGCAATGGAAATTATCCAAAATGTAGCACAGGGAAGAAAGAGAATTCAAACCAACCAAATGAACAAACAAAAAACTAGAAAACAGAGCATCACTGAGCTGTGGAAAAATTCAAGTAGCCTAATAAAGTATAATTGAAGCAATAGTGGCCAGAAAATTTCCAAACCAGATTAAAAGTATAAACTTACAGATTCAAGAAACTCAATGAACCCCAAGCACAAGAAACATGAAGAAAACCACAGCAAGGCAGAACCAAACTTCCCAGAAGCAGTGTCTGCCCTCAGGAGAAATTATTTAACCAGATCCTAACCTGCTGTGATATAATCAGAGCCTAACTGACCTGGAGGAAGGTAAATACCCAACTCCAGACCTGCCCAGAAGCAGTGTCTGCCCTCAGGAGAAATTATTTAACCAGATCCTAACCTGCTGTGATATTATCAGAGCCTAACTGACCTGGAGGAAGGTAAATACCCAACTCCAGACCTGTCTAGCCTTCTGTGTGAGAAAAGGGAATACCCAACTCCAGCCCACTCTAGCCACTTGGTCCCACCTAAGAGGGTGTTGGGGTACAGAGAAGCACTTGTGAAGTTCAGTGCAGAGGAACAGGCCCACTGAAAGACTGGGACCTAACCATAGGACTATAGAACGCTTCTGCTCCCCCCACACTTCACCAACACCTTACTGAAGGCTTACTTATAGCAGTTCTTTTTAGCCAGTACATCATGTCTGGCTATCAAGAAAAAATTACAGGACATGCTAAAAGGCAAAAACAAAAAAACAAAAGACCACATAGTTTGAAGAGACAGAGCAAGCATCAGAACCAAACTCAGATACGGCAGGGATGTTGGAATTATCAGACCAGGAATTTAAAACAACTGTAATTAATATGCTAAGAGCTCTAATGGATAAAGTAAATATCATGCAAGAACAGATGGAAATGTAAGCAGAGAGATGGAGATTCTAAGGAAAAAAACAAAAACATGCTGAAAGTCAGAAACACTGCAACAGAAATGAAGAATTCTTATTAGACTGAACACAACTGAGGAAAGAATCTCTGAGCTTAAAGATATCTCAATAGAAATCTCCAAAACTGAAAAGCAAACAGAAATAAGACTAAAAAAAGAAATACCCAGGCACAGATGGCTCCATGGGGAATTTTATCAAACATTCAAAGAATAATTAAGCTAACTTATTTTCAGCGCCAACCACCAAGCTGCTGGAAGTGCCCTGGGCTCCTGAGCCAGGGTGGTGGGGGGCTGAGGGCTTCAGCCACACCCCTCTGACATCTTCATCTGGCCCAGCAATGACCAAACTGCTGCTGGAAGCCCCCTGGTTTCCCCGGCAGGAATGAGGGGGCTGCCATGGGCCTCGACCACCCCCCTCCTTCCTCCTCCCACCTTATTTCCCTCCCCATTCCTCTCTCCCCCTTCCCCACAAATGCTTCACAACATCTTAGAATGTTAATATAATAATTAATAATAATATTAATAAATAATATAAATATAATTTTTAGAATGAAAAAAACACTAATTTACTTTAAGAAATAAAATAGAAGAGACTACCTCCCAACTCATTTTATGAAGGAAGTATTACTGTGACATTAAAACCAGATAAAGGCAGTGTTAAAAAAGAAATCTACAGGTTAATATCTCTTATGAACACAGATGAAAAAATCTTCAACAAAATATCAGTAAATTGAACCCAGCAATGTATTGAAATAATTATACAACATGATCAAGGGGGATTTATTCTAGATATACACAATTGGTTTGACATTGGAAAAATCAATGTAATTCAACTTTATCAACATGCTAAAAAAGAAGAATATGATTATATTAATTGATGCAGAAAAAGCTTCACCAAAGCTAACACCATTCGTGATGAACACTCTCAGCAAAATAAGAATAGAGAAAAGAAGAATATGATTATATTAATTGATGCAGAAAAAGCTTCACCAAAGCTAACACCATTCATGATGAACACTCTCAGCAAAATAAGAATAGAGAACTTCCTCAACTTAATAAGAACATCAATAAAACACCTACAGCTAAAATCATACTTAATAGTGAAAGACTGAACAATTTCCCCCTAAGATCAGGAAAGAGGCAAAGGCATCCATTCTCACTGTTCTTACTCAGCATACTTTTTTTTGGAAGTAGCAAGATGGACTGAAATTAACCCAAGTTGTATGCTGGGAGAGATAATTTTCAAATTGCATATCTATTACAGGACTTGTGTCCAGAATATATAAAGGTCTTGTTGGGAAAATAGAATAGTTTAATCAGGTCCCCTCACCTCAGGTCTGGTTGGGTGTGGTGTACCACCTTCTTTGTAAACAAATTGTGTGGGGGGGGTGGAGTTAGTGCACATGAGCGCCAATGTATCTTTTTAGTTTTGTTGCTATTCTTGTGCTCTTGAGAGTGTGTGGAGCAGTGGCCCTGAACTGCTGGCTGCCAGAGAGCTCGCATCTAAAAATAGAGCATGTTTACTTTGCTGGCAGCTGCTCAGTTTTTCTTTTGACTTTGCCGGTAGCAGTTGAGTTTCTGAGTTTCTCTTTGGACTGCCTAGCTCCTAGACATGTGTCTGCTGAGTAAAAACTACTCTTTCTTTTTTTTAAAAATTTTTTTTCATTTATTTATTTATTTATTTTATTTTTTAAAAATAGACTTCATTTTTTAGAGCAATTTTTTTTCTTTTTTTTTTTAATTTTTATTTTGTCGATATACAATGTGGTTGATTATTATGGCCCATCACCGAAACCTCCCTCCCTCCTCCCTCTCCCCCCTCCCACCCAACAATGTCCTTTCCGTTTGCTTGTTGTAACACCTTCAAAGGATTGTAGTTGTTATATCTTCTTCCGAGGAACCTCTATACCATTTTCCATAGAGGCTGCACCATTTTGCAGTCCCACCAACAATGTGTGAGAGTTCCTTTTTCTCCGCAACCTTGCCAGCATTTATCGTTCAGAGAAAGACTACTCTTTCTTCACCTACGGCTCCAAGGACCTTTTTTCCAGTTACCTAGCTTGTAGACCTGTGTGTGAAGGGTTTGTGACCCAGTCTGGACAACAAGCTTGAGGGGTCTGTGAGCTCCAGACCGAGCCCTAGCACTACACGTCTCTCAAAACCCAGTAATGAAAATCAAAAAATAGGCAAAAGATTTAAACAGACACTTCACACACGCACAAAGGATATATGCATGGCAAATGAGAACATGAAAAGATGCTCAACATTATTTGTCATTAGGGAAAAACAAATATTAAAACCACAACTAGATACCATTACACAACTACTAGAATGGCTAAGATTAAAACAACTGACCGTACTAAGTGTTTGCAGGGATATGGATGATCTGGAGCTCTCATATATTACTGACGGGAATGTAAACTGGTACACCATCTTGGAAAACAGTTTGGTTTTTGTAGTGGATTGAATTATGTCTTCCCAAAACTCACTGAAGCTTGAATAGTGTCCCCCAAGTTTTATGTATTAGAAACTTAGCCACCATTGTGACTGTTAAGAGGGTGGGAAATCCTACTATGGTAATTGAAAGGTTGAGCCTTGAAGAGGTGGTTAAATTATAGGACCATGCAGTGGTGAATGGATTAACAATGGTGGTCGGGGGCGTGTTCTAGGGGCTTTAAAAGGAGAGTGAATGAGGAGGTTGGGCTCTGCTGTCTCTCTCCACTCTCTCTGCTCTGTCATTTCTCAATGTGTACCCTGCTGTCACTGTTGCCACCACCAAGGCCTTCACCAAATGTGTTCCCTGGACTTTGGACTTCCTAGTCTCTGAAATTGTAAGCAATAAGTTCCATTTTCTTTATAAATCACTCAGTTCCAGGTACTTTGTTAAAAGCAGCAGAAATGGACTAATACAGTTTTTTTCTTTAAAAATTTAATCTCACAGACCGTATGATCCAGCCATTTCACTCCTAGGTATTTACTCAAGAGAAATGAAAGCAGATGTTCATACAAAAGCTTGTACACAAGTGTTTATAGCTTTACTTATAATAGCCCAAGCCTGGAAACAACTCAACTGTCCATCAGCAAGTGAATGGATAAATAAATTTTGGCATTTAGTATACAATACTAATAGAATACTACTCAGCAATAAAAACGAGTGAACTGTCGATTCACACTGCAAGATGGGTGAATCTCAAAATAATATAAGTGGAGGAAGCCAGACAGGAAAGAGTATTTATAATACGATTCTATTTACATAAAATTCTGGAAAATGGAAGCTAACGCATAGTGACGGAAAGCTGATTAGTATTTCCTTGGGAACTGGAGAGAGGTTGGGGGGGGAAGGCAGATTTACAGTGGGGCACAAGGGAACTCTTGGGGGTGATGGATATGTTTGTTATCTTGATTGTAATGATGATTTCACAGGTTTGATTGTCAGCTTTTCAAGTGGTACACTGCATATGTTCAGTTTATTGTATGTGAGTTACATGTCAATAAAGCTGGTTAAAAATAAAAAATATAAGAACCACGTGAAATTCTTTAGATTCTTTTTTTCCTGATACGGTTGGCTTTCTGTAAGAAATGTTTGAAATTCGAACTCTTTTATACAATCTCATAATGTATTCACCTCTCATTTTGGCAGAATGAAGATCTGAC